TTAGCGCAGCAGCGCTTGCGCAGCATGCAGCCAGTGCCCGAATGTCGAATGCGTGTGCAGGCCCTTTCCTAAATGGAAGTGGCCTGCCTGCCTTGTGTGCAGCCTGGTTGTGTTGGGCCCCTGCCCAGAAGCTTCCTGTAGGCCCAGAGAGGCTGAGCCCCAGACCAAACGGATCAGGCCCGAGGCCTGTGACAGTTACCCGTGCCCAACTGCCCGCAGCCTGAGTTGGGTACATGCTGCGTATCTCGCCCAGGGCCTGACTCAGATGCATTTGATAAAGGAGGCCAGGGCCTGGGCGCTTTCAACCAACCGGCGCTGCGCAATTGTCTGAATTTTCCCCCATTGCGAAGCAGTCCAAAATAGTCTTGTTGTCGTCTGTCGAGCCTGCCTTCACTTAGGGCGGCCGACACTTGTTGCAAATAGGGGCCCAGTAGGGCTTATCGCGGCCTTGTGCCTCACATTCCCTCCTCCATACTTCGCTAGTCCCCTGAGAAGTTCATTCAATCTGGCGCTTTCCTTTCTGCAGCAACTTCTCGTAGTGGGCAACAACCTGTGGAGCAGTCTGCATTAGTTCTTCCCGAGTGAACCATCTATCCTCCTTTCGATCAGTATGGTACCTGAACCGAACGCGGTACTGCAGCTTCGGCTTCGGAGGACGTCACCTGCCTGAAGGTCTTGGAACCGACATTCCCTGTGGTCCACGATGTCATCGATGTCGACCTCTCCATCAATGGTTGGGGGCAACATTGAGCGTCGCGAGGGAAACTGGTCAGTTTCCTTGAATGGTGCAAGCTTGGAGGCGTGAAAGACAGGGTAAGTACGAAGGTGACTAGGGATCTGAACTACATACGATGGACCATTCGGATCATCTGCGACTATATCCAGAACCCGAAATACTGTGGCATGAGCTTGCGGGAGATCCCGTGCTCCTGTCCCAGTTCTGAAGACTTAACCCAGACCATGTCCCCTATCTGGAATGTTGATGGGCGGCGGTGCTTGTTTTCTGATTCTATCATCGCCGCCTGTGCCTTATGCATCTGTTCGACCGCCTGCTGCATTAGTTGTTCATATCGATAAGCAAATTCTTGTGTGCCAGGTCCAGCAATTGGCTGGTTCTCAGGCAGTAGAAAGTCTAGGGGCATTCTAGGTTTGAAAGTCAGTAGCAAACTGTTAGGGCTCACCCCAGTGGCACTGTGTGTAGTGTTGTTGTACAGGCTGGCGATGAGAGCAAGTTTCTCATCCAGTCCACCTGATTGGGCTTGATGTAGTGCCGCAACAGGTATTGTACAGCACGATTTAACTGCTCTGCTTGCCCGTTTGCCTCTGGATGGTTTCCAGATGTCATCTGCAACTGCGTTCCTTGTTCTGCAGTTGAGGCCTTCCACAACTCACTCGTGAATCTAACATCCCGGTCGCTCACAATAGACTTTGGCAAGCCAAAATCTCTGACCCAATTCACCTTAAACAGGCTAATGACGTACTCGGTCTTCGCTGTCTCTGGCATCGCAACTAACCTACACTCGGCCGGATCCACCCTTTCTCTACGAGTTCCTTCAGCTGTCGGCGAAGCTCGTCAAGCTCGCTTGGAGACATCCAATAGATCCTACCCTTCGGGATGCTAGACCCAGGGATAATCTCTATCGCGTGGACGACCTCCCTCTCGACCACCCCTGTCGGCTCTTCAAATAGATCAGGGTACTTAGCAACTACTCCCTCTATCGACATTTTCACCGGCTCGCCTGCTGCAGACATAGACTAGATACATACCCTCCTCCAGATTTTGTTTATAATAGTTGTAAACTGCGGCGGCACAGATGTATCCGTAGGACTCGATCAGACTACTAGCCTTAAACTTACGTAATCTGGCGGTCCGTCCACCTGGCAAAATGTGCTTGACCACTTTTCAGTCCCAGTCAATCTGGGGCTATGCAACCGAAAGATAGTACATACCCAACAGGATACCCATTGGGAGATCATCGCTAACTAGGAACGAGACCGATGTCTCAGTTCCCTTCCCGCGTACGGGAAACAACACTCAACATCCTGGAGGTAGTCATTAACTACCATGCGCTGTTTGTTGGCGCAGGTCGACTGCACAGGTCGACTCAGGCGCTGCACTTGCCCCTGTAAGCGTAGTTTCTTAACGCACGCGCGACTATTGAAGTTCCTTGTCGAGCAAGTGTCATAATAGGCCCCGGCCTTGTGGCCGCCGATGACTACCTTGCCGACGAACATCTCTCCTTTAGGGGTCTTAGCTAATGTCGTCCAAGAAGCTAGGGGGTCTGATCTAGACCACTCCTCCTCTAGCTCCTCTAAGGATTCAAACACATTCATTGAACAAAGGCTCGATGGGTCTGAATGTGTTTGTGGGACGACGATGAAGTCAGTAGCTTGGACCATCTCTCGAGATGGTGAGGGTGTGTCCACCACCTCGACCCTAGCAGGAATAGCTACTATTCCTACTGGCCCGATGCGTTTCCCGGAGCAGTGCCAGAACTGCTGGCCACATTGCTACCAACGGGAGCGGAGGATCCCAATGCCTGCCCCATCGTAGGCGGGATCTTTTTGGTCACCTTTTTGTTTCGGCACCTGAATTGGTTATGGCCGTAGTGGCCACAACGGATACAAGCCTGCCGCATGTACCGATCTCTCCACACGTCCTCACTGAGACCCGCTTTTTCCCATGGAGGAGCATTGGGGTCAACTTGACTCCTAGACCGGGAACCTCTACGGCGTCTACCGGTCGCCTTACCTTTTTGAGCTACGGCAACGACTACTCCACCCCCTGAAGCTTCTACGCTGCCTGCCTCTGAACCCACTCCCACCTGGAAGTCGTCGTCCAACTCGATGGTGGAACCATCGTTGTCGACGAACATGATGCGTCCCTTCGCCTTCAGTTGGAAGGTAATGATTTTTTCCTACCATCCGTCGTGGGTGTCTGACCATGCCCTATCTTTGCTTCCAGGTCTAGGGCCTTCTTGCTAAACGAGGGGAAGTTGTGCATGTTGATGTTGGCCTCACCTGCCAACTGATTCCTGAGAGGCATAGGAAAGCATCTCAGGTAGGAGGTGAGTAAAACCTGGGGGTCATAGCGCACCCCAGGGACACAGATCAGACCCTCTACTGCGTCTGTGGCTTCCCTTACTGACTTAAACTGCCTAGTATGCAGAATCAGGATCGCATCAGTGACCTTTTGGGCCTCCTGAGGATCATGCCACCTGTCTTCCACCATCTTGAGGAAGTCATCCAATTTTTGGTTGACTGCCCAAGCGAGGAAGTCATGACTGTATCCCTGTAACTGCACTAAACCGCTCAACCATCTTGCTGCACTCCCCTTTAAATAGGAGGCAGCCACAAGCACTTCCTCGTGCGGCAAGGTAAGTTTGCACTTAACATAGACTGGCACTGCCCTCAACCATGTGTTGAGGTCTTCGCCCCTCTTATCCCATGTAAAGGGTTTAGGAGCAGCGATGACCGTCTTTGGAACCCACTGACTTTGTCCCGGTACCTGCACCATTTCGGGTTGTGGACCCTGTGGTGCAGGCTGCTGCATTAGCTGCTGCTGGGGCTGTGTACCCTGGGGTTGTGTACCCTGCGGCTGTGCAGGCTGCGAGACAGCGGGCTTCCTGCTTATGGCAACCTGCGACGAAGGCTGTGAGAACAGTGTTTCTACAGAAAAATGTACACTAGGACCTGCTGAGAACCCTCTTGCTAACGGCATACCCATGGAAACGGTTTGGACCGATGCCGGGGAGACATATGGGGATACCCCAGTCACCGGTGGGACATAAGGAGGAGGTTGTACAACGGGCTAGGCACCGGGCCAGGAGAGCGATGGTGCTGCCTGCGCTCGCCGGACCAGCAAGGCCAGACTCTGCTGGATGTCCTGAAGGAGAGCCGTGTGGTGGTCCTGCATCTCTACAACACCTAGCAGGGTTGTCCACAACGTCCTCACATCATCATCCATGTGCGTCAGGTCCATTCCCTCTAACTCACCGATGTTCGCTTGTTTACGCTGCATCCTGGCTCTTCTTTTAATCATTCTTTCCTTCTCCGCCTTTATCTCTCCTAAGGCCTTCTGTAGTTGTGCCTCCTGCAGTGCTGCCTGCTGTATGGCGATCTCATCGGAAGTCAACACTAATGGATGGCTTGCCATGACGCCAGTGGACTGACTCAAGGTATGCGCGACCGTTGACCCCACAGTCCCTGAACTGCTGGCTTGGGAACTCTGCTGCACAGCGGTTGCCATGGCTACTGAAGCAGCGGCTTCACTTGTGAATGCCCTGCTGGCCTCCGCTGCCCTAGCTCTCCACTGTTGTTGTTGCCTCTCCTTAAGTTGGCGGAACAGTAACCTATGACCTTCCGGTCCTAATGCCACGTGGGCAATCGGGCGTCTAGCCGATCGCAAGATCCGGTCGTCCTCACTAGTGGTATCCCCATCACTCATAAGCTACAGAGCTGTACACAATCTCCACTAAGTCACTCTTTGATGCTTACCACAGCGTAGTGCACAGGCCAATTTATAATATAATAATTAAACTAATTAATTGGTGGCTGCGTCGGAGAGTATATACGTTTGGGTCCAATAGGTAAGTTCAGGTTCCTACAAACGAAACTACTTTGACTTTGACTAGTTCTTAAACAGAAGCACAATGAACAGAAAACAGTTCTAAACTATGTTGTCTGTCAGATGTTAATGCTTGTACATCTAACTCATAAAAATAAAAATAGAATCATTTGCAAAGTGGAATCTTGCCCAAACTTATCACTTGGAATCTACCCCCCCTCAGTTCTTCTTGAATGTCTCTTGTCGCCAAGGTCCCTAAGTAATCCGAACAGTGTGCGTGTCTAAAGGTGTGCACACGGCCTGCCCCTGTGCCCCGAGTCCCACTGAGCTGGCCAGCCCTGCACAGTCTTTATCCTCGCGTGCAGCGAGCCTTATACCGACCAATTGGCTGAGCAGGAGGCGTTTTTATGGACGACCCCCGAAGTCCTCGGGAATTATTTAACGTCGCAAACAGGACGACGATCACATCCAATGGAAGGTACCCCACTGGTGCTTATTTATAGACGCCCGGTCTCGTCTGTCCCATAGGGCTGGCCTGCCCTTCAGAACCCCTCTAAAGCTCAGCGAGCAGGCAGAGGACAAAGCAACAAAGCATGCGTGCTCTACTTCCGGTGGGTTGGCATGGTGACCGTGACCTAGTGCTTCATCCAGGGCCCTTCAGATAGCACCGCCCTCTTCTTCCAAATGCTCCACGTGAAGACTGACGACTCTCAAGGTTGAGCGCACACGACTCCTCACATGAGAGGACTCTCAAGACCGAACACACATCCTCATGGTAAGAAGTGTCGAAGAGGGTGGATAAGGTTAGGTGCACCGTACCTCAAAATAGCTGCCCCCAACCAGAAATATTCTCACCAGATGACCCGATGTTGATTGTGATGACCAATCGCTGCTTTGGCACAACCAGCATTGCACCACCGTTCCACCTCAGCATCAATCATACACCGGATAGTTCTCATCACACTGCGAACACCCAATCTTCACCACTTAGCCTTCTTGGCGATCCCCTCTCCACCTGGGTCGCCTGCTTATCTTCGCCCTCCTCACTACACACGTCTCACGGCACGGTCGCTCACCGCACACACCACGTGTATGTACCGCATTAGGCAGAAGACAAGCGCCAGATGAGCGCACCGTACCACAACTCTGATACCAAATTGCAAGGAAGATGAGCAATATCGGACTTCAGAAATCAAACAGCATCATGGACATGCGACCAGATAGTCGTGACCTCGAACCAATAGCAGAATTGCATCACGAGTTTCACCAAATAATAG